GGAATGATGATTTTTAACATGTCATGTGCATTGGAAATCCCTAAGACAGTTGTTGGAAGGTTTAGGTTGTGTTTTACTTGTTTTGTTTCGTTTCGTTTTGTTTTGTTTTTCTTTCTGTTTTGCTCGAGGACTAGCAAAAGATAAGTGTGGGGGTATTTGATAGGAGCATATTCATGCGACTTAAAAGGCTTGTTCTCGTGCATTTACGTTATGTTTCTCTAGTTATTTTAGTCCTTTATGCTTCTTTTGTGTGTTTTCAGGTTCTAAGGGCAAGGTATGCAAAAGGATGCCTTTTGGAGCATTTTGGAGCAAAATCGGACTTGGATTGGATAGCTTATATTTGGAGCAAAAGGAATGGACGAAATTAAAGACCAAACTATCATAACCACCTATCATTACTTATCATCACTTAACATATCATTCATTTATCACTTAACATATCATTCATTTATCACTTAGCATATCATTCATTTATCAATTATCAAACCATTCACTTATCACTCACCACATATCATTCATTTATTACTTAACATATCATTCATTTATCATATCATTCATTTATCACCACATATCATTCATTTATCACTTATCATAACCATACACTTATCACTTATCATACTCATAATCATCTACACATTTCAACCATTTAAAACATTCCACATGCTTTCACAACTTAATTCACATGCACATTCATCCACCTTTCTCCAAAGAACATCTCACATGCATTTCCACCTTCCTACTTCATCATTTCACCACATTCTCCATCTTTATTCCACATGCATTTATCATAATTCACCCTAGCTACCACCATTCACACACACATGCACTTATTCTTTCATCATTGAACCACCAATTCAACACATGCATTCACACACCCTTTAATCATCCCCCCTTTAAGTTATGATTTTATTTCCTAACCCTACATGCATTATTTATTAACTCTTCATCATGCATCCACATTCATTCCAACACAAAACACACACATGCACTTATTCTTTCATCATTGCACCACCAATTCACCCACATGCATTTCCAACCATTCACACCCCTTTAATCATTCTCCTAGCTATCATTCACATGCTCTCCCATCCATTCTCTCCCTATATAAACCACACACACTTCATTCATTAGCATCATTCAATTCATCCCACACTTCCATTTCATTCAATTCCATCTCTCCATTCTCACACCACAAATAAACACTTCCCCTTAGAATCCAAAAACCATCTTCCATTTCCACCAATCCTCATCCATTTCCATAATTCCCCAACACTTCCATCCCCCCAACCAACCTATCCCTAAACCTTGTGCTACAACAACGAGGAAGAGAAGAGTGCCTAAACGTTCATACAATTCAAGTTTTGAGTTGTTGGAATGTTTAGGCGTTTCTTTGATTTCAATGTTTAATTTCAATTCTCTTTGTTTTGTACGTATGAGGAACTAAACCCCCCTTAGCTAGGGGGTGATTCGAAATATATGTTTATGCTTGCAATATGATTTGAGTACTTTTAATTACGTTTCATAAGTTGTGAATTCAATTTGTTTAACTATTTGATTGATATCCTATTTATGTATGTTTATTAAGAATGAATGCTTAATTTTCATGCATGAATTTGACGCTAGAATATAAGTGAGTTTCACGTAATAGTTATGAACTTATATTCACAAGTAGTGGAGGTTGCTTATAAACAATCGCGTTAAACAAATTCTTGGCATAAGTTTCATGCAATCATAGTAACGAATGCCTCGTCAACACTTATAGTTTTCATGTTGCTTAATGATTCTTGCTTGTATCTCTATTATGCAATTCATGTAGGGAACTAGTGAGGAATGCTTTGGGTTGTCGTATGCAATCATCCAATTCATTAACTTAAGGAAAACTTGACGGTTAATTTAAGCGGACCTAATTAACCCGGAGCGTTGAGAATTCATGGTTTATTGAAATGCAATTAGAAATCTTTTTATTATGCAAGTGTAACATGTGTGGAGATGAACCCCTTGGCTAGCATCCATTCATTCCATTTCATCAATTTCATATTTACATTATGTTTTAATTGCAATTTGTTCATTTAGTTTAATTCCGTCCAAAACTCAATCCCCCTTTACTTTATTGTTCAATTTAGTTAGAAATCATTTTAGTTTGTGTTTTGAAAGCATTTTGAGTCTTTTGTTTTGTCTTAGTGTTTTAACGTTTAGTTTCACAATCTTTGAGTCTAGTTTAGTGTTTTATATTGTTTTTACGTTTTTGAAGTCAAATCCAAGTGGTTAACAATCCCTCCTAATCCCCGGTCCAGAACGATCCCTACTTACATCCATACTACAATTGTCAAAAAGAGGGTTTAAATTGTGTGCGTATAAATCTCGCATCAGCAACTTTAAACAATTGGTTTTTGGATCCATAGAATTGATTTAAATGGAACTAAATATAATGAAAATCCAATTCTCATTAAAGAGACAAAACAATTTTTGTTCTCATTCTATTTGGGCCATTTTGCAAAAACACAAACTTTTGGGCCATAATACAAATACACAAAAGTATCAAAACTTTATTTAATTGCACAAAAGCACCCCACTAGAGGGGTGGCCGGCCATTCATAGATATATTGAGTTTTTGATACAATAAAATTTTGTAAGTGGATTTTGGTGGGTGAGATTAAAGATAGTGGGGATGGTTTGAAAAGAAAATATACCTTTGATATAATTAAAACCATTTAATCATTTCTTACCAACAAACATCATCCATTAACTAATATTCAAAAATATATCTTTGACATAATCATCACCCATCAACTAATAATCAAAACTTTATGTAAAACATAAAACTTTTGAATCAAAACTTCAAAACTTTTTGTTCTTGATAAGAACTTCAAGAAATATGAAGAACATACATGAAAACTCATAATAGCTCCATGGATGTTTTCTTTCATCAAAAACTCAAATTTTCACAACTCAAAAGAGGGTTAATATCCTAGGGTACTTAGGGGTTCCAAAAAGCACTTTAAAACCATTTTAACAAGCCTAACATGAACCCAAAAAATCACCCTTTGGATTTGGCCGAAATTCCCAAAACACTTGGCACCAACTTTTAGTTCCATTATTCATGCTTTAATGAAATACATCTACAACATTTGAGATGCTAAATTTTCAAGTAAAATTTATATTCAAAGCAAGAACAAAGCTTGTAACATTTACAACACTTAAATCACAAAATATGAAAAATCACAAAACCCAAAAGGATCCACCATAAACTAGGCCTAGGCTCTGATACCACTTGAAGGAAAAATTTTGTCCTAGCTAAGAACATGTAAGAACATTTGAATACATATGCAAACTAATAACACTTTAAAGTAGGCATGCATTCAAAAACAATTCATAAAACCCATGACTTTCAAAGCCTAGTATATGGTGAACCATAAGAGACCTGCTGGAACAACATGCTGAGCCTCTTCACACGGACCACACGTGTTGATGGAGCTCCAGCCGTGCCTTTCTTATTTCCTCACAGCTGCCATTCAGCCGTGTCTCATTGCTGCCAAAATAAAAATAAAATAAAAAAGTTAATAAAAGTTATGTACAAAAATAATTAACTAAGAATATGATAAACACAAATTATTTAAAACAATCCTCGTCGACGACGTCAATTTCTTGATAGGATTTTTACCACCTGTAAAAGTAGGGATAAAAGTACATAAAATACTTGCAAGAATACAAGGTTATCGTAGTATAGCAGCTCAAGTAAGGTCGTTTTCCACATGGATTGAATGAATAATTTGTATTTAAACTAATCTTTAGCTAATTATTTAGAACAAAGTTTGGAAAATTTGATTTTGTAAAAACGAATTTAATTAAAAAGGTTAAAGAAATTGGCAAAGTAAAGAAAACAAAGGAAAACGTTTGTAAAAGCCTAGGATTCTGTCATCCCCTTAGCAATCCTATGCAATTTTACCACTTACTTATGAACTTCTACATACATGCTTTGAAGGTCAGGTTTTCCTAATACATATTTTTCTTGTGACGTTCAAGCAAAAACATATATCTAACATGACACTTGTCTGTGATGTTCAGATCAAATATAAACATATAAGACTCATTAAGGTTTGTGAAAACCTTTGAAAAACCATGCAACCCTTAAGAGCGTGATGCTCGCCTTAAGTAAACTTACAATTACTAATCACAAGAAGCCCTCCTCAATTTCAGGGTGATGTTCCAACAGAAATTGCATCAAATTACTTGTCTGAAAATCCTAATGGTTCGAATCACTAAGACAATTAGATAGTTTAATCTCGATGATTAATAATTCAAAGTAAGCATGCATAACATACATCCATTCATAAGCAAATTAATAAAATCACATATTCATGCTAAGGCTCATGGCTTTGCCCTAACAAAAGAAACTAGCTACGAACAATCATAAAACAAAATATTATTGAGAATAAGGATAGAAAACACCTAAAAAATAAACTTGAAAAACTTTCTAAAGCGTGCGCGCGTTCTCCTCCTCCCCTCTTTCTTGCGTAAAAAACCCTAATGGCTAAAAAGCCTTATTTATACTACTCCAAATTAAAACCCTCATAGAAAAGGTTCTCTAAAAACTAGGAAATAAAATAACAAAAGGATAACTTGAAATTACATTCCTATTCTGACTAGGAAATCTGCCCATCAAAAAGATAGTCACGTTTATGGACCTTCAGGGCTCGAAAACAAGCCCAAAATGACTCAAACTAAAGATTAGGACCTCTTCTCCAAGTTCCAAGTAGAGCCCAAGTCTAAAATCTATCATCTTTCAGCCTAAAAGTCGCAAATAAGCTATGCAGCCCAACTGCCAGCACTGTGGGATGAGGCTAAGTAGTCATGCGGGAACGAGCAAAAAAATAAGCCCAGGGACCGTTCCCTAAACAGAGATGACACAATACCCAAGACGTACACCAAGTTCTCAAGGAATCGAAGAAGAAGTTTTTCACCCCAGCAATAACAGCTGAAGTGTAGAAAGATGATTCTACCTCCACCAAATAGAAACCACAGCAGACGGGTCAAGAAGATGGCATCAAGGTCGATAATGCCTGGCAAATGAATAAGGATGAAAACCCAAAAACGATGTCGAGCACATCTTCATTGATCCTAAACATCGATTATACCTCACAAAACGCACATCCAAAGAAGATCTGAACGATCTTGGATATGAAGTCCTCCACCACTCTAAAGAAGATCCAAGATCTGACCTGATGAGCAGCTGCACTCAACTAACTCCTCACGCGGCCTACTGACCAATGCAAGCTTTTTCAAGGCAATCAGGACACAGCGAGACAAATGGAACGACGAAGTGCGAGAAAGCTTTACAAGACTTAAAGAAGTACCTGACATCACCTCCCCTACTATCCAAGTTGGAAGCAGCGGAGGATCTATGCGTCTATATGACGGCATCTTAAGCAACAATAAGCTCTACCCTCATACGAGAAGAGCTAGGGGCCCGACCACCTATATTTCACATTTCAAAAGTTCTTATAGATGCAGGAAGCCAGATACTTGAAAATCAAAACTTTGATTTTGGCGTTAGTTATTGCAACCCGGAAGCTTAAGACATACCTTCAGACATACGCAATCATAGTCATGACGTGTTATTTTGCATAATCCATATGCACGACATTAAAGGCGCAAACATTAGCGGACATTCCAACGAATGCGACAACTTAGCCCAAAGCCATGCTGGGGCAGATAAGCACTAGAATGAAGCATCAGCCCAACTTGCAAGAAAGTTCCTCCAAGTACCAATGATCAAAGCATGCTTAGTCCTCATTACCTAGACGGTTCCATACATGGAGCAGCTCAGCGCCAACAGCTGAGCACCGCCTCCCACTGCACACAATATTGGTAGTTGAACACTGCCTCCTGCCTTATGTGACACGGCCCTAGCCAACCTCAGCTCTGCAGCCCCCAACTGCGCTTATCATGCACAGCGGCTCTCAACCATGCCAACCTTGTCTCGTGGCTCCTCACCGTGAAGACCCATACTCTCCAGTGCGAGAGGGTAAACCAATCCCCCGACACCCATCTGGGTAAGCTCTCAAGGGTGAGAGGGTAAACTAATTCCCAAACGCCAATCTGGGTTAGCTTTCCAGCACGAAAGGGTAAACTAATTTTCTGACACATATCTGCGTTAGCTCTCCAGCGCAAGAAGGTAAACTAGTTCCTCGACAATCATTTGGGTTAGCTCTCTAGCGCGAGAGGGTAAACTAATTCCTCGACACCCATCTGGGTAAGCTCTTTGGCTCGAGAGGGTAAACTAATTCCTTAACCACCCATGTGACAAGCAGAAGACGCCCTCTACCCTGCAGACATGACATGTGCTCTCTAATAAGGAGAGGGTAAATTAATCCGAAATATCCAAACATGGATGGGTGGTACGATTGCTCAGTTTCCCTTGAATGCAACGACTATCTAAGCCGGACGACTCCTAGAATTAGCCAAGATAGTCATTCCCCTAAAATAGACTTAGCCGACTAAAGAACTCAATTTTGTGGGATCCCGGGTCTTTAACTGGAAGAGACACTAAGTGCAGTACACCTGCCCATGGTAGAGTTCGCGTGACAAGATGGTTTGTTTTCGACGTGTAAGTCTTCATGAACGTAGCTTGGTTTTAAAGTGTTGCAATACTAGTTAAGTAACCTGCGGAATCAAGTTTCAACTCGGAAGGATGTGGTCTCTAAGGCGTGATTCTGCCTACAACTCACGCCTAAAACGCTTCCAAGAGCCAAGGACGATGCCTGTAGTGGTCACGCGAGTCTTCTGCTTCTGTAAGTAAAACGTCCGGCCGACGACCCAATGGCTAACAACCTAAGGCAATCTGTAAGCCGATACTTACACTTGCTATGACTACACGGACCGGTCTGCTTACTTAAAAGTAGTGCTTCCGACCAACGGTTTATGGTTTATGTTTTGCTGGGACAAAGTCGAGTGTCATGACTATAGCAGCTATGCAGACCTCATCTGTTTTCTATGAGAAGCATGAGTCCGGCCAATGGCTCTATAAGTTAAAAATCTCGCAACGTGCCTCGGGAGGGCCAAGGCTCAAAAAGCCACTAAAGTTGAGTGTCATGACTATAATAGCTATGCGGGCATTCTCTGCTTCCTACGAGAAGCATGAATCTAGCCGACAGCTTTATAAGTTAAAAATCTTGCAACGTGCCCCAAAAAGGCCAAGGCTCAAGAAGCCACTAAAGTCAAGTGTCACGACTATAGCAGCTACACATACCTCATCTGCTTCCTACGAGAAGCATGAGTCCGGCCAACGACTTTATAAGTTAAAATTTGGCAACATGCCCTGGGATGGCCAAAGATCAAGAAGCCACTAAGTCGAGTGTCACAACTGTAACAGCTATACAAACCTCATCTGCTTTCTATGAGAAGCATAAGTCCAGCCAACGGCTCTATAAGTTAAAAATCTTGCAACATGCCCTGGGAGAACCAAAGCTCAAAAAGCCACTAAAGTTGAGTGTCACGACTATAGTAGTTACGCCGACCTCCTCTTTTTGAGAAGCATGAGTCCAGCCGACGACTCTATAAGTTAAAAATCTTGCATTTTTCCTCTTACAGGTAAAGCTCTAGAAGCCTCAAAGACAAAGCTAAAACCTAAGTGACAATGTGGGATCGATTGCTTCACTGAGGCAGCTCACCCAGCCAATTGTCCTAGGGTAAAGTTTTGCAAAAAACATGGCGAAACAGAAAGATGAAGCAAAACAAGGAAAGCTATTTATTAAATTTTTAGCAAATTGGTAAACCGGCTCAAAGGCCAACAAATTTCAAATAAAGAAGAACAAAAAGGAAAAGAAGAAAATTCCTAAGTCTAAGCAAAAAGACTACTCTTTGGCAACCTGCGCAACCACTGGTTCTTCGACTACCATGCCTTCAACAGTCGCACCACTTCTAGCAGCCAAAGCTTCCATCAGCTCATCCTCAGCCGCCCCTGCCTTGACTGCCTGACTCTCAACTGCTCTACCCAAAGGTAACCTCAAACAGGAAATCAAGCGGATCAACAGGAAAAATTGAGAAATCTCGAAGTCCTTCTCGGAAAACTCATAATCTGACGGCATGCTCTGAAGATGGTCTACATAGCCAAGCTTGTAGAAATCGGCCTAACAAGAAGCAAGCGCCATTTCGTGACTAGTTTTCTTATTCTTCAACTGCACAGTATGAGCACTATGCAGCTCATCTAGTTCCTTTCTCAGGTTCTTGCTAGAAGACAGCGCACCTTGCAGATCCACTTCCTTGGACTTAAGCTTATTGGCAACCTCCTTGACACAAAACACTTTAGTATGCATGAATATAAGCTCCTCGTCCTTGGCAAAACAAGCAAATCGTAGCTCCAAATTGACACGCTCAAGGTCCTCGACCATTGGAGAAACACAACCGACTTCCTTCTCTGCAGCTTCCAACATCGCTTAAGCCACACAAAGCCTAGTCTTCAAGTTGACGACCTTTTGATGAGCGATCTCCAGTTGCACAGAAGTGGGAGCAAAGACATTAGACCCCTTCAAAGATTTCAGATTCAAGCTTCTCAATCATTTCAGTATCCGAGCGAAGCTGAGCCAACAATGCCACTTTAGCCTTCTTAGCATACTCGACAGCATCCTGATTAACGCGCATAGACTCAGCTATCAGGATTAAAGTATTATGCATTGTAGCAATCAGGGAGGACCTTCTCCAAAAGGCAGGATTCTTCACAAAAAAGTCTGAGCGGACAATAACTTTCCTAGCACTATCAACAAACTTGGCACATGCACTGACGTCCTCATGTAGGTTAGCCTTCAGCAGCAGGCAAATTTTGTGAAACTTACCAGCCCAAACTCGGTGGATCTTTCACAACTGCCCATGCGAGCAGATTTCCCCTTCTCAATAGATGAGTCAGTCACTGCAGAAGGAGGAATAGGCCCAGACACCACCTTAGTAGTAGAATCCAAATTTTCATTCTTCATAGCAGCGAGCCTCTCAGACACTAAACCGGACTTAGCTTTCGATGAATGATTTGATACAAACCTGGACATTGCAGATGGCCACCGAGCCCTTCTACTGGGCAAGTCTCTTAGCAATGGATGTGGTCACCTTCGGAGCAACAAGTTTTATAAGTTCAAGCTCAAAGGTCTTCTTCACCCCCTAAGGGGAAGTTAGATCAATGACTAACTTTTTGCAGTAGACGAGCTCCATGAGCAACAGAAAAAGTCATTGGCTTCTTCTCTGTCGAATGCTCACAAGCAGGTGAGGAAGATCTCTTCTTTCCACCCTCATTAGTAGTAGGCTTTACAGTAGTGATTAAACAAGCCAACGCCTCGTCCTTTATCCATTTTATCTCTTTCTTCGAAGGTAAGCCACTTTTCTCCCGACAAAGAGAGCTGAGCAGTCAGCGCTACTCACGGTACTCAGCAAGAATGCCCAAGGAAATGTGCACTTTCTTCATATCTGCCGAAGTCCTTGGAGTTAAGCCAAACTTCAAATCTACACAAAGTGAGAAAGACGATCAATAAATTAAAGTCATGGAGCAGCTCAACAAAAATTCAAGCAGGGCAAGAATGAAGTAATTCACTTACCACTGATAAAGGTAATTGGGACACGCAACTCAAAAGAAAAGTTAGACTCCTACTCCCCGTTCACTTCCAAGGTGTCTCTCGCCCACTCATGATCACTTTTGCAAGAAGCATTGAGTAGCCTATGATGAGACCTCAGCTGCCCCACACCTTCCTTGTGGCCAATCTCAAAGAAGTACCATAACTCATTTATGGTCAAGCCAAGATAAAATGACTTGTTCAAGTTTAAGAATCCCACCATCGTAGGAACTGTATTTGGGGAGCACTGAGCAGGCGCGCATTTCATGAAGCAGATCACCTCCTGGAAAAGACGCAGCTTGGGAAAAGTAAATCCCAACACAAAGTAATACGGATGGAATTTGATGGCCCTTTTCCTAGTAGTGGCGCCCTCGCTGCATAATTCATGGCCGCTGTCATCTTTCACCCACTTCACGCAAACCCCTGACAAAATTGCATGCTTGTACGCCTCAAGAAAATCCCGAAATAGCTCATCAGAATTGATCTTGACATACGCATGCGCAACCTTGAAATGGCCTACCTTGCTAGAAGAACCACCTTAACGAAACAAGGGTGGAGGATATTCGTCACTCTTGCGAATGGAGGAAGCCATCTCAAAATCTCTGCAAAAAGTACGAGGAAAAATATTTAGAAGTCAGCTCGCGAGAAAAGAATAAAAATAAAATTAAAAAAAAACATAAAAGACCACGAGCTTAACGCCCTTGCACCAGGTCCCACGACCCTCACCACTTCTCTCGGCCTAGGCCCTAGTTACAAGCCAGGCCTCACAGCATAGGACCCGATCTCTCTCTCTCTCTCTCTCTCTTGCAAGCAGCTCAACCTAGTCTAAGGGGATGCATATGCCTCATCTCCCCTTCTTCTTCACGCTCAAACGCATCGCAAATGACCCAATGCCTTTCAGCCTAGCATTCAACCCGTACTGGTCTCTCTCTCCCTCGCCACCCATTTGCATAGGCCCCTGCCTAGCAACCTTGAAGGTCCAACCCAAGTCGGCCTTACTGCACTGCTAGTACCTCGGCCAAGCCGAGCCGACCTATGCCGTGCCACCAAGTAGTCCCAAAACTCCCAAAAAAATTCAAAAAGAAAAAGATTCAAATTTTCTTACCTTGGTGCGGCACAAAGAAGAATAACAACAACGAGAGATGACTATTTGCAAGGATAAGAGAAAGAAAACGCTAAGGGAGAGGGGGAAGAAATTTTCCTCTAGCTTATCTTCCTTGTTGGAATGATGATTGCTCTCCAAATTTATTTAATCCCTTACTTAAGGCAGAATTAAGTAGGTATTGGGGGCAATTGGTTTCCTTTTCCTAGAAGAAGTCTATCTCTAAATCAAGAAAGGAGATCAAGTTCAAATTGGGAAGTAACTCTGCAAGCCCAAGCAGCTTGGGATTTTTACACCTACTATCCTTTCCTGCATGCAGCTTAGTAGGTGTGAGGGCATTTATGGAGCCTAAAATAATCCTAAAAATTCTAGAGGCAACGCGTGGACTTTTGCTCAAGAAAGACAAGATTGCCCTCAATAAATGGGCAGGTTTCTTAGATACTCCCACACGCAACTTACACACTTAAAGGTCCCAGCAGCTAAATACGATTGTCCACAGCTCACGTGCCCTTAGCAAAGAAAAGTCAAAGCATTAAAGATAAGAATTGATTACCCAAATCCTATCTTTAATACATTCCAAATTGAAGATTAACTCCAATCAAGTAAGTAATCCCAATTTAAATAAATTAGGGTAATTACACCATTATCTCAAGATATTATTTCCAATTTAATATCTTGAGAATATTTTGAAAATATTTCTCCATAAACACCTTGGCCAATAGGATGCCGTCATGTGTAAGGTAAAATCCTAACACTATGGTCGACCCTATCCTTATAAATACCCTATATTCTACCAAATTTTCAGAGCTTTTGCTACCCCTAAAAAGCCCTAAACACTTTACTCTCTTAGATAAACTGACTTAAGCATCGAAGATCCATTGACCTAACCCCTCCCCTCCCCCCACCTCATAGGTGCGTGAGGTTTAGGTCTTTGATCAAATGTGTTGATTGTTTTGCAGGTGCATATTAGTCAAGACTGAAGACAGCTTAAATTTGCATTGACACTGAGCATCTTACCTTTCTAGGTTTGTAGTCTTTTCCATACTTGATCTTTTAAATAACTGAAGCAGAGTTGTCGATTCCTTCCAACAATTGTTGGCATGCCTAGGTATTTCTCATGACGATCAACTCGATGTACCCCCAATAATGCAGTAAGTTTTAACTGCTCAAGCCTCTTAATATTACAACTGAAACATACCTCACTTTGGCTCGAGGCACACTTATACAAGTGAAGTACATCCATAATTTGCGACATTCAGATTCCTTAGGCTGACAAAAGAGCAAGCTATCATCTTCAACGAGCAAATGGTGCACTGATGGATCCTCCGGATAAACAAAAATGCCCTTAATTTGACCCTCAGTTTCCTTATTGGCAATCAAAGCTGATAGCACAAAGTATAAACATGTAAGGTGACAAAGATCCCCCTGTTGTAGGCCTCGCTCCAGATGGATGTGTCATCGTGGTTGTCCATAATTACAATTGAATATGAAACAGTAGTCACACAAGTCATAATTAGCTTAATCTAATTGGAAGAGAACCCCAATTTAGTGAGAATTCCATGCACGTATCCCTACCCGATCCTATCATATGCCTTGCTGATATCCAACTTTAAAAATAAGAACCCATTTTTTCACCGTCTTCTTCTAAACATGTAATTAGATATCTCTGATGCAAGAATGGTATTGTCCTGATATCGTTTTACCTGAAACAAAGGCGCTTTGTGTCTATGAAATAATCAGAGGAAGAACGGCGTTGAGCCTATTGGTGAGCACTTTACAACCTTGTATAACTTATATGTTAGCTATTTTTCAAAATTGGCTAATTTTCAAAATTTCCCCTCAAAATATGGGTGAATAGTTATAAAAGGTTTAGACGTTCAAAGACAAGATTTTTTTTTTTTTTTGGAACAAACAATCTTATCTACACTAAGATGAGGGGGTTGTGTTTATCCTCACACTAGGCTAGCAATAATGTGGTTCAAATTCATGTTTGGTAAGAATCGAATCTAAGACCTCTCATTTACAAGTGAAGAGAAATACTACTAAACTGTAGTACCAAATGACTCAAAGACATATAAATTAATTCAAAATTTTAATGTAGAAAAATTGGAACTTTGTAACTCACTTGAAAATTGCTTCAAACTTAAAAATGTAAAATATAGTTGCTACTTAGTAATACGGTCTAGTGGTATTAGGGTTTGATTCTCGTTAAAGATGAATTTGAACCATATTATTATTAGCCTATTATAAGACTAAGTCCATCCTTCTCATTTGTCAATTAGTTTCCTAATATTTCTATACTACTATTTAATTTAGTTTCCTATCTTTCTATACTACTATTTAATAAATAAATACTATATCGACCTTTGTAGGTAAAATCTCAATCTTGTCAATTTTTTAAGGAAGAAACATTACTATATCAACAATTACGGAATTTTTTTTTTATGTTGCATAATATTAAATGCCATGAGCAATAAATAACTAAACTTATTTAAATTATTACTCTTAATAGAATTCCGTAAACACAAATAATTTAATACTTAAAATATTTAATATTACATAACATAAAAGTGAAATTGCAAAAAATACCCCACTACCAGCAAACAAAAAACAACTCGAGAATCAAAACAAACAATCAATTTAGCTGTTGAAATCAGTACACCAAAAGTTCTACAACAACGAGGTTCCACGGCCTTCGTAGTTAACTGTTTAAAGTTGACGTCCGGACCAACCGAGCTGACTAAAGTGGCAGCCTGGCCTTGTAAATCCCCCGAGGTGCCATTTTATGACGTCGTATGGCAAACCATCCGCCCAAAGAACTGACTGTTCAGTACCACAAGTGTACTTACTATGACGTGGGCCACTAACAGAAAAGAAGCAAGGAAGAAGATGTGTGTTTGGTTATGGCTTTAAGATGAAGTGGGGTGTTTGGTTAACAAGACAACAAATGTCTGGATGACAAGTGTTTGAGAAATTTTATTTAAACTCATATAATCTCTTTCTACATTAAACTTACTTTTTGCATCCATTTGATTTTTAACTAAACAATCAATATCTTTTTAAACCCAAATTTACTACCTAAAATACCCTTACAAACCTAATTTAATATACAAATTTATCTTTACGCACATTTAACACGTAACTCTAAAATGACATTGTGCAGCCATCCAATGATTTTAGCTTTTGAAAAGGTATCAGGCAAGGTTTAGTGGGTGGATTTGTTAGCTATTTAATTCTTTATACAGAGTGATTGTGGACGACTCATTTCCTAAATCAGTGTCTTCAAGCATTGATCAGTCACAAGAAAATTGTAAATCGTATTTGAGGGCATGTGGACACAGGACAGCAGCAGCCATGCATGTACCAGCAGCAGCAGAAATCATATTGGAGGGTGTTTTGGGATGCAGACAGACACCGGGAGAGTGCCTACAACAATTTGTTGTTGCAGAAAGTTTAACAAAGGGTACTATGCGGGATTGATGAACAAATATTGAAACCCAAATACTCATTTTTTAAATTCTAAAAATAGTTAAATCAAACAAATAAAATATCCATAAATCGAGTCATACCTTAATTGAAAATTTTAAAACTTCAAAATCATCATCTATCAATAACAATAAAAATAAAAATAAAGAAAAATTGTTTTTCTCTATAAGAGCTATTAAGATTTTAGCCAGAATGAATGTAGAATAAACAAAGAGTAATGCTAGGGTTTAATTATAGTGTGTGGGTTTATTGATAAATTTGAGTTTTATTATTAATTTTATTTGGTACTTAATAGTAATTATGCAATATGATAAAATAGGCAATTAACATTTAAAATTTAAGTTGGGTATAGAAAAAGATTACATGAGTTTAAATAAAATTTCCCTAATATTAGGGCATATCTTTAAAGAGATTTTTTAATTTAACCGATACACGAGATAATATATCAAGTATTATTATACAAATAATTAAATTTATAAGTTAAAAAGTTAATAATTTAAAAAATAAAATTTGTCACTGCTTATATAAAAACACAAAATGTTCCTGTTGAAATATTTCTCATGTCTTTGGGTCAAACCGCGTAAAATTCCACAGAAGGATACCGCTTATTCCCTCACCGCCTCCTCCACTTAACGTATCCAACCAGGCAACCAACTTTCCTGTCCCCCCCCCCTCCCTCTCTCTCTCTGTGCCTGAAATTCCCCTCCCCCCCCCGCGGGCCCCCCGGCTCTCTCTCTCTGCCTGCAATTCCTTCAAAACCTGAGCTTCAATTCCTCCCTTTTTCCCGGAATACTTATAAGGTACTATTTTCCCAGAAACTTTTTAATTTTATATACGTTTTACGCTTTTAATTTAATTAATGAAATTTCTGTACCTGTTTGTGCTGTATCGTTCGAATTAGGTCGCTTCGATACTGCGTGTTGGATCATAGAAATTTTGAGGATATTGCCGAATTCTTGTCTAATTTTATCCATCTCGAGAAAATTTAATCAAGTATTAACCGTAAATCATATTTATAATCAATGTTTAATTGTCCCTTTTGTGTGTAAAAGAATCATATAACTAGGTGTGATTGGAAATTAGTATCGAATTCGCAGCCAAGTGTCCAGAAATCGTAGTTCTATGACATTGTTATTTCCTTGTGTGTGCATTTAATACAAACTATGCTGAAAATTACCTGTGCTGCTTCGATTTTTAATGTGTTGCAACGGTCATTGTTCGTTATGCAATTTGAGTGATTGTTCATGTTTTTTTTACTTACTGCAGTTTACAGTCTGTTTGATCAAATTGTTAGAGAGTGCTGAAGTAGTGTACAGAGCTGATTGGTTTTCGCATGCTTTCCTGATGATTGGATGGATAAAAAGCGACATATTGTGATATTTACTACTGCAAGCCTTCCATGGATGACTGGAACTGCCGTCAACCCTCTTTTCCGTGCAGCCTATCTTGCAAAAGATGGGGAGAGACTTGTCTCTTTGGTTATCCCTTGGTTATCGTTGAAAGATCAAAAACTAGTATATCCTAACAATATCACATTCAGCAGACCTTCGGAGCAGGAGGCTTATGTCCGTCACTGGCTTGACGAGAGGATTGGATTCAAATCTGATTTCAGTATACTTTTTTATCCTGGAAAGGTATATATACCCAAAGATTTAATAGAAGTACAAGCCAGTTTACTTGCTAGTCAAGGGTTTCATAATATAAAAGATACTGTCCTTTAAGGGGAGGCTGCGTGGCTGTCCATTTTTCTTATTATTGAAACCTATGATGTTTTAAGAAAAAAGAAAGTGTCATATTTATTTAATTTCCGTTTTTGATCTTTTCTGTTCTGTTCAGTCCAATATATTATGAGTTTAATAACTATTAGTCTATCTGATGGTGGAAGCCCATGGCGTGAGTCAACGTGGTGGACATCCAAGTTGACCCATCTTACCCTGTGATCTATCCAATATTCTCCTTTTTCTTATTTTGGTACCTTCAAGGATGTCTGCTGTTTTGTTTCCATTCCTTGTGTTGTAGTACCAACTTGTGACGTCAATTCTATCGCAGTTTTCCTTAGATAAAAGGAGCATCCTTCCTGCTGGAGATATTTCAGAAGTAGTCCCTGATGAAAATGCAGATGTTGCCATCCTTGAGGAGCCTGAGCACCTTACATGGTTTCATCACGGGAAGAGATGGAAGATTAAGTTCCGGCTGGTTGTAGGAATCATCCACACCAATTATTTGGAATATGTGAGAAGGGAGAGGAATGGAAGAATGAAATCATTTCTTCTTAAATATATAAATAATTGGGTTGTTGGAATATATTGTCATAAGGTACATCTTGATAAATATTAGTTTTCTTTTATATAAATTATTTTTGATGAATAGTAATATATCTTTTGCTTTCCTTCATTATTTTATCTAGCCTCTTCTAGCTTTTGCATTAGACTTGGTAAATATGCTCTTCAAGTTGCTACTGTATGACAACAAAGCTGTGCCGGTAGTTTGTTGTATCCTTTTTATAAGTCTGCTTATGATTGATGATGATGAAGCTTGAGAGAGATGAATGCGGATATCATTGTCATTGTCTTGCTATACATGCTAACCAGATCTCACCTATGCCATAATGTAGGTAATCCGGTTATCTGCCGCCACCCAGGATTATCCTAAATCCATTGTTTGCAATGTTCATGGAGTCAACCCAAAATTTCTGGAGATAGGCAAGAAAAAGCTAGAGCAACAACAAAATGGAGTCCAGGCCTTCACCAAAGGTGCCTATTACATTGGGAAGATGGTATGGAGCAAAGGCTACAAGGAGCTACTCGAGCTTCTGCAGGATCATCAAAAGGAATTAACTGGACTTGAAGTTGATTTATATGGAAGTGGGGAGGACTCTGATCAAGTTCAGGAAGCTGCCAAAAGATTGGAACTGGCCGTTCGAGTCCACCCTGGTCATGACCATGCTGATCTTCAATTTCACGAGTAAGCTTCCTAGCTATCTGTCCAGCTTCCTCATAAGATCAAATTCATTTTGTCTAAATTTTAATGACATTCAGAAAAAGAAAGTTTAGTTGTCCAACATTGCATTACACACACGACCAACAATTCTTGCGGAAAATGGTTGGCCTTGACCAATCGTTTCTTATTCTGGATACTGAAATGATAGGATGGCTCACCCTTATTATACAAGTACTGTAGTTATTCTGGGGGTTGAAATTGAATTAGTCTCATGGTTATCAGTGGGCTGTTCAAGGGCAGTTTTATTACCAATTTGTACCTTTCTCTTTCCAAAAATACCTCTATTCATTTGAGATGTTCTCTCATAGAGATGATCGGCCTGGTTGGATATTGACAGATTATCCTTGTACTTTTTCAGTTATAAAGTATTCCTCAATCCAAGCACCACGGATGTGGTTTGCACAACCACAGCAGAAGCATTGGCAATGGGTAAAATCGTTGTATGTGCCAATCACCCCTCAAATGAATTCTTCAAGCAATTCCCGAATTGTCGAACATATGACAATGCTGATGGGTTTGTTAAGCTCACACAGCAGGCGCTTGCTGAAGAGCCTGCCCAGCTGACTGATGCACAGAGGCATGAGCTTTCATGGGAAGCTGCCACAGAACGATTTCTAAGGGTTGCTGAGCTAGACCAGGCTTTTGCCAGGAAGCTATCAAAAAATCCTTCGAAAAGCTTTATGTCTACCTCATTAGGTGCTGGGAGTACAGTGGAGGATGCATCAGCATATGTGCATCATGTGGCTTCTGGTTTTGAAACAACACGGAAAATATTCGGTGCAATCCCGAAGAGTTTGCAACCAGATGAGGAACAATGTAAAGAGCTTGGGTTTGCCATGCCTGCAGGTAAACGAAATTGAGAAGTGGGTGGGAATCGAGGGATAATTTATACAAAATACAAGAGTCGAATTATGTTCATTTACACTGTTGCGAATAACGTCGTGTTTAATTTGTCATTGTTAGTCTTTCTGGACAAGAGGGAGGGGTAACTTGCATTTGTAATTATAACTGCAGTGTACATATACATTGTTGTGGATACTACTTACGTTTAATACGTGTGGTTACTTGGTTATTTTCATCGCGCTCGACTGTTTATGCAGCAACAATATTTGGACCGGTGCTCTAACTGCGTCCCATAGGCTGTATTGCTCACTCTATCCTGCTTTTCCATGGACGAGGTAAAATGTAGTTACAGCCAAATACAAAACCAAAGCAAACAAAAGTCGCATAAACAACTATAAACCCCGCATCGCTAAAACTAAGCGTGATCTCAAAGAAACCCTAACAAACTTATGACAACCCATTTGGGGCATAGATGTCAATGTAAAATGGGCTTACATTTGGGTTATCTAATTCCTGCAACTCCAACATTTATGGCGACTGAATCAAACACAAAAATATATACTTTCTCGTGACTCTCTACGTAAAGCTCTTCCTCCTTCCTCAAAAACCTAGATCTATAAACCCCACAGCCACTGGCCTTTTGAACTACTAGGAGTGGAAATTACACCAATTATTTTGAAGGCGGAAATAAGTCATGCAACTACGCACAATTTAAGTGCAAGTGGTCCTCGCAACAGTAGTGGAGAGGACTTGCATTACTACGACATGAGTCGAACTCCGTCGACACGAGGCATTGTAACAAAATGTGGCCCACGCACCTTTCCGGAGGCCGATCCAACGGTGTCGTTACTTGGCGTTTTGACGTAGGGGTTTTAATTCCCACCGACCCAACGCTTGAGCTGTGTCGTTCAACTGTCAACACAGCAAAACTACGGAGCAATCTCTCATCTCTGTAAGCTCGCGGATCATGAGGCAGAAGAAGAAGAAGAAGAAATCCGAAGGTAGAACCGAACCCTCTCAATTGTATTTGGCCTAGTGTAGTTGTTACTCTTTCTGTTTGGTTGCCGAGGAAATGGTGGCCAACGGTTTCTAATTGATCGACAAGAGAAAATTTAAACACTCTCCCATATTGCCTTGTTTGGTTTTTAAATTTTTAATGTTTTATGAAACTTAGTAGTGCTCCTAGAAAAAAATTGTGTAGAAACTTATCAGATACTACGTTCTAGTTTTGGTGTGTATTGTTAGAACATATTTGCATATATGGAATTGTTATGGAATTTAAACACTCTCTCCCATATTGCTTTGTTTGATTGCATGATTGTGTGTGTGTGTGCATTCAACTTGGGGTAGATTTGTTGCCACTATTGTTAGGATCCTATTACTCCAATTGGAGGCAAAAGGTATTTGAATTGAATCCGGATTCCAGATTCCGATCTCTATTTGGTGCTGTTCAACTCATTTTTATTTCATGGGACAAGAAAATCTAGTGTATGTTGTGGCAATTCGTAGCAATTCAGCTATTATGAAGTGATTATTGCTTTTTGGGGTTTTGGAATTCAGCTGTTAAGACTAATGGAAATTTTTATTAAGAACTTCATGAATGTTAAGGGTTTCGGGTTTTGTATCTCACTTGGTTGGCTACTAGCTATCTTGAATGCAGAATTTGGAAAGTGTTAATTCAAGTGTGTGCGCGTGTGTGTAAGAATTTAACAAGTGGGCGTATAAGAAATCAAATGTGTTTTGACATTGATGGATTCTACTGTTTTTATGTACCCCAGTTAAGCTACTCATATCTTATAATTTTCTACTAGGCTCAAAGTGTTGCCTATTGATTCCTTTCATGGTTGTTATCCAGTTTAACACCAGAAATGTGCATTGTTTTCTTTATATACTTATTTGGTATGCAACACATAAGTTTTCGGATTTCTAAACTCAAATATCATAAGGGCCAAAATGTGAATGTTTCAAAGCTTTGGTTATTCGTTTTTGGTAATACTTTCGCCTCTATCTTGCATTCATCCCCCCGTTTGAATGTTTGAATTTTCTTGTGAATGGTGTGCTGTTTAGTTTGTCATTTCTAGTTTGAGGTCAGAAATATGCATTATTTTCTTCATATGCTTATTTGGTATGCAACGCATAAGTTTGCGGATTTCTAAAATCAAATATCATAAGGGCTGAAGTGTGAATGTTCCAAAGCTTTTGTTATTCGTTTTTGGTAGCACGTTCGCCTTTATCTTGCATTCATCCCCCTTTTGAATGTTTGAATTTTTTTGGTTATTCGTTTTTGGTAACACTTTTGCCTCTATCTTGCATTCATCCCCCTTTTGAATGTTTGAATTTTCTTGTGAATGGTGCGCTGTTTGGTTTGTCATTTCCAGTTGTTCTACTATATTCTTACGGAAAAATTAATTCTCTCTATATTCAGTTACGTTTTGGCCTCTCATCCAAACACACTGAGAGATGGGAACACGTGGACTTGGAGGCATCTTTTGTGTTTATCGAATTGCCATCGCAATGCCTCGTTGTCATCGAAATTTAGGTTTAAAAGGACCCTCAAGCAAAGTGGAAATAGAAGGGAGTTTATTCAGAGCGCAGGAGCGGAAACATCAATGGAAGATAAGAATTTGGAAAAGCCAATTCCTGAAGGGTGGGAGTTGAAGGACGAAGGCTCCAAAACCTCGGTAATTAAACACCTGATTCCCAGGCTCTCATTTATGTCTACTGATTTTATTTGGTTCTAGATCTGAATTTTAAACCAATCTTATGCTCTACACATGCATGAGTTCCATTACTGCTGTAATATGTTTCAGTTTTGGTAGTAGATTGACAGTTGATGTAATTCTCCTTTTGTATGAACTCCTAGTAGTTGAAATTTAATTTAATTTTCTATTAAACTGAAAAGGCATTTGTTTTTTTTACTGAACAAAAATCTCATTTATTTCTCTAATCTCAATCTTCTTGTGATTTAGCATAGAATTTTCATCTGCATAAGATTAGTAAATTGGGAAGTGAATTTTGTATTTGGTGTTAGATCAACTTAGCAAATTTGGTTTAAATCTTACTGCACAATACTTTATTCTTTAGTTAAAACATGCATGTTAGATTGCTTCTTGAATGTTTGATGGCGCTGTATATGGTGGTTTCTTCTTTGATAGAAGTCTTGCCTCTGTGCACTAATTTCACTCTTCAGAGTAGCGTTTTGTGGAGTTTAAAGAAACGTATCCAGAGTCATATGATGCTAGGGTTCTAAGCCATCAATTTTTGACAGTTTGAACAGAAGCTTTCTGTTACTGTTTTCATATAAATATCCAAGATCTTTAATCCATGTTAAAGGAGTCCTTAGTCAAGTATTTTCCATAAGTGAGCATAATTGTTTTGATATTTCTTTCTGTGTCATCTTGTGTGCTTGTGCTTGCGAATAGATGAACATTTATGTAGCTTGCAGGCCCGTTTCTTAACTTTGATGATACAAATAAATATTTTTGTCAAGTTATTTGGGCTATCTTTACTGGTTTATGTAATCAATAATTGATTTGGCATATTTAGCCTGATCAGTACTTTGATTGTGGCATGTTTTCTCCATCATCAAATGGCAGTAGACAACTTTCCACTTTCTTGGCTTAAAATATAAAAATTACTTTACTTAGAATGGCATGCTATTTTTCTGAAAGCAAAATTTATGAGACTTTAAATGTTTGTGTCCCCGTCTCCCCCCCCCCCCCCCCCCCCAAATGTTTCAACTGGTTTCAGAACTGAGTGATTGCTTGTTTTAATGTTTCGATGTTATAGCACTACTTGTGTCCTGCAACTGGTCAGCATTTTTCAACATATGAAGATCTTATGCGATATGTGAACTATGCGAAGGAAAACAAGCTTTCAATATATGCACCGGTGAGTTTTATCGTTGTTGCTTTGCTTCTATAAACATTTAGTCTTCTTCGTTCATATTCACTTCTCATATATTGTAATGATCGCTACCTTGAGAATCTTCGCATTACTGTTCATAATATATCTGCGAGGCTTGATGGACTTGATTTTCTTTTGTTACTTATGGGACCCTCTAAGTGTACTACATGAAATTATGTAGAAGACCTATCAGACATCCTATACTGTCGGACGTTGTCTTACTCATATATCCTCTTGTAGGATTGTAAGATCAACAAACTGAAGAGGAAACGCAGGAAGAACAAACCTATCTCTTTAACCAGGAGAAACTCTGGCGGTCAAAGCTCAAGGCCGCTGCCTGTGAATCTGGGTAAATTTCTGAACTACAAGGTGTTTGACACCTCCATTTCTTTATCTGTAGTAAGTTATAAGAAATAGTTTGTTTTAATAGGATTGAACTGCAAGGACCCTTTGATTTGTTCCGAAGCTTTGCACGTATCATATCGTCAAAGTTGTCTTTCTCTTGCACTCAAACTTGAAGATATATATTAGTTAAAGATCATGTGATAACATCAAAAAAATGCTAGCTTTCGCTTGTACATTACGCATTATATTGGTGTCTTTTAATTTCTACAGAAAAGAAAATTTTTTATCTGGAATGCATTGCCGCTGGACGGCTGGTTCGCTTAGTAGTGTTTTGTGTTTCCTTCTCATGATTTATTAATTGCACCATCTACTTCAGGTAAAGAAAGAGAGGAAACCGCCAACCCTATGGAAAGCAATGATACTGGGAAGGACACTGAAGCTGGTGAGGCTGGGAAGAGCATTCAAGCTGGTGACCTTGAAGCATCAGAAGCTATGAAAGAATAAGGCTCCAGGTTATCCATTGTCTCTGCAGGCTGCCGAGTATTCACTTTTCTTTTGATTGTCGGATTGCTCTTTTCTCCGGTTTCTTCGGAATAATGCATTTCCAGTTTGGTTAATTCCTGAATTTACTTCGGTTTGGTATTTCAATTTTAGTCTTGTATGCATTATGGCATGAGAGACCAACGATGCGTTATAAGAACGAATAAAATGGACAGATTGTTGTTTCAATCTGATTCGATCCAAGGTGTTTTGGGATTAACTTTCAAACAAGTTATTTGTGAAGAATGTTTGACAACTTATTTGTTAAGAATTTTATCTTGTGTTGAGCAAGAATGTTGGATTGAAAACGAAAGATAAAATTCGAACGCCATCGAACAAAGAAACTATAAAAACAATCGAAATCAAACTACATAAACTTGACTGATTATTTCGGTCCATCAAACAAGTTGAGGCGCATATAAATATGTAGGTTTACACACTGAAACACACCAAATTAGAAACCTCCAACATGACTGAAGCTCCTCCATCCTCTACTCCTCCCCGTAAGACGATTGTGTCCATCCGCCATAGCTCTCCTCGGACTCACCGTATCCTCCAGAAGGAATGTTGTCGCTTCTCTGCAACAATGAATACAGTCAAGTCAAACACACTCCAGTGTCTGAAAAATACTGAACACGAATGCAGAAACAAAACAACCAGACGAAATTTAACAGACTGAGCAGCGAACTTTCGAGAAGCAATACCTCAGGCTCGGGAGTGAATGTGAGTCCGATTTTGATCTCTCCGCAAAATTCTTTGTCCTTGTTGACAACATTGTATGGAGCCGGAGGAAGGCTTCCTTCAGTGAACACTGGCTCTAAACAAATGCTGCATATAGGCCACACATAAGTTAATCAGACCAAGGCAGCACCAGACAGAACAGGGTGCAATTTTCTTTCGAGTGACCGCATACTAAAGAATCGTAATGAAACACTCACGTTGCTTCTCCGACAAAATCATCCGCACTGAAGTTATCTTTCTCCATGATTTTCAAATAAAGTTCGGAAACATCATCTGAGACGGTGAATAGAAAGGTTTCATTCCATTCTGGTGTAGATCCTTGCCCTGCAGCATGCACAAGTTTTAAGCAACACAATTTTTATTGCAGCAAATGCGCCGGAATGATGAAGATGGCTAGAACTTTACCTGAGACCACATTGCTATTCTTCTCTTGGGTTTTTACAGTTAAGATGACATAAGGATCCATGTCAGCTGCTCATAAAGTATTCAACCCCGTGAGTATACACATAATTAGCATATTCAGAAATTCAATGCAGACAGATTTTAGAAGGCAACATCAGGTTCAGATCAAATTATGAAACAATCTACAAAAATATCGATTCAACTTAACCGGAATTCAGCCGATATATGTCCTCATGATATGAAAATTAGCACTCAAGGATCATAAACTCATAAGGAAATGTTGATCGGATCTTTTCAATTTTAAGTAAATCCAAATAAACATGTCAAAACACAAAAGTAATACTGATGAGAAAAACACCAGTGAAATTTTGATAGATCTTTTCTACTTTACTGTAAAGGGACTATAGATCGTTGTTAAGAGCAATCACCCTTACACCTGACGTCCCGAATTTTTACGATCCCTTCCTTTTTATCACTTTTATCAAAAAGTTTATTTTCTACTTCACTTTGAATTAGTATGGATCCATGAAAAGGGATCAAGAACTTTCATGGGATTCTTTATTTTGGGTTACTGCATCAAAGACTCAACTTTTTACCCTCACACAGACATACACACACACACACACATATCAATATAGATGGGTAAGAAAGCAACCCCGATGTCGTTTTATACAATTATATACAGAAAAATGATCAGCATAAACTAATGTTGAAGATCTAAGGTTCATGATTAAATATTACACATACAGAGACAGAGTGGGGATAGAAAATAATTACCCATAAAATCATTGTTGTCGAGACCCTTGGCTTCGACAAGAAGAACTTCAAGCGTTCCGATAGGCATGTTTGATCGGATGAAGATTGAAATCACCAGAAAGAGACAAGACCGAGTTGTTTGCAAGTTTGGTTTTGCAGTTTTATAAGCTGCAATTGCTTTAGGAAGAACAACTCACCGAGTCATTGGCCTGTCAGCTATTTAAAGAGCTCTCAGGAGTTACTAGTTACCATCAGTTACCAGTTTACCAATTTACCAAGCCTGTCTGAATCTGAATAGGAGCTGACTTTGTTCACTTGGATCGGTTTCTACAAAATTTGGCTTCCTGTTTTCAACTCCAAGTAACCTCAACTGAAATTTATTTCTTTGTGTATAGTTATTACACTTGTTCATTAAAAATTTTAGAATGAAGTGACGATAGCATGAATCGGATGAATGAACGTTTGGATGTCACAAGACAACTAATTTGATTTCGAAAAAGATTTATGTTCAAATTCTATCGACAAAAGGTTGATATCTATTTGTTGTGTGCAATTTAAAATCTTGTGAATGGGACTATTCAAGCTAACTGAGAAGATTTGACTCAAAAATATTATCTTTGAATAATTTTAGACTTATAGCTTAAGTAGTTAGAGCATTTACCGTTACACTTATGATAAGAATTTCAACTACTTGCCTTGACTTTTATTTTTTAATTAAAAGATTTAGAATAGCTTAAGGCTTAAGGGATGGGTTGCCAGTGGGCCTAATACATGAATGATTTGGTGTATGATGGCTGAGAATTGTGTTAAGAGTAAACGAAAATGTCAAAAGCACATGCCCGTGAAGGTCATATCTTGAAAATATTGGCAGTGCCAAACATATACGTCATTGGATGCTCACTTTCAAGTATGCTCTGTTTTTTTTTTTTTTTTTTTCCTTTGTTTTTTTAGTACTTTACACTAAAGACCTACTCTAACTCTTAGAGTCAAACTCAAATTTTAGGTTCTAAATTTACCCAAACTTGCTCCAACCCTTGGGGGCAAATAGGAGTTCAAACTCAAAACTTATGGGCCAAACTTAGCCCAAGATTCCTCTTGGGTTTGTAAGGCTGGTTCACCATATATGTATATTTTTTTTAGTTTTATATTAATAAATTAATTGAATCCAACGGTTAAGATCTAATTTGATGAAATCCAACGGTAAAAAAAATATCTAACAATCCAAATTTAAATTCAACGGCTAAAGTAATTAAAAAAAATTCTTTTATGTGTTTCATATTCTTTCATAGTGTTTCACGAGTTTTATGATGTCAGTTAGTGATTTTTCAATATTTGTCAGAATCTAAATATTTTAGGGAGTTTTAACGAAAAGCTCACGGTACTATTCACTTTAATGAAAAACCACATTTTTACACTAAAAAGTCGATCCTAGTACTATTCACTTTACCTTTTATTTTGTCCTTATCATTAAAACTCAAAGTTTTCAAGCCATTTTCATTAGTTTTCCTAAATATTTTTAGGTTAAAATGTTCTAAAATTAAATTAGGATAGTCTACATAATTTTTTTCTTTTAAAAAAGTTATTTTAAGAAAAAATTTAGTCTAAATTCATTCTTTAATGATTTGGGACTAAAATTTTAGCTCAAAAGGGTTTGAGCCAAAAAACTGTTTCTAGGTTAAAACCTAATTTTTCCAGGCTAAAAATTTTAGGTTTTAGCCCAAGGTTGGAGATGGTATAAGGAGAATGAGAGTTCGGCTAAGCCACACAATAAACAACCTAATTTAGTATCGAATTCATCATCTACGAGTTTTGAACTTAAAGCCTTAATCATCTACGAGTTTTGAACTTAAAGCCTTTCACTTGCAATGCACTGACATTAATAACATGGAATACAATCATACTAATGACTTCATAGATGCACATCTCACACTTTAATTATTCGATAATGTCATACATTGTAACATAGTAAAATTTTTGGTCCACAGGTAGAAAGGAACCTCGAACAAGATTAAAGCACTTTATTCTTTTATTGTCTAATAAGACCAGGCAACTAAATGATAATCAATCATACATTACAGTACTGTCAATTATGATAATAAACTCATCCTCTGTATGTGGAGGATTCTTTCCATCCACCAGAGCTGTCCTCAGATTTAGATGATTCTTTCCATCCACCACCACTGCCATAACTACTACCACCACCACCACCGAGGCCACCGCCACCACCTTCATAGCCGCCGCCATCACCATAGCCACCACTACCACCGCCATGGCCACCACCATGATCGCCATAGCCGTCGCCACCTCCACCATAGCCGCCACCACCTCCACCATAGCCACCACCACTTTCACCATAGCCACCTCCGCCTCCACCATAGCCGCCGCCTCTTCCACCATAATCATTGCCGCCGTCACCACCACCACCACCATACCTTTCCTCACCTTTATGTGATCCTTTCCTCCCACCACCAGCACCTCCACCATAGCCACCACCGCTATCACCATAGCCACCTCCGCCTCCACCATAACCGCCACCATTTCCACCATAGTCACCGCCGCCACCAGCGCCACCACCATACCTTTCCTCACGTTTATGTGATCCTTTCCTCCCACCACCATAGCTCTCCACGTCACCATAGTCTCCAGAACTGTCGCCGTGGCCGCTTCTCTACAATAACAACAAAGAAAATATGCAGTGGGTCATGGGATAGTAGTAGTGCCTTTCCACATCAAAAATAAAAGTTGTGACAAAACTAAAAGAAAATGATGACCAAAAATGACTAAAAGTAGGGAAAAAAAAAAAAAAAAAAAAAGAAAGAAAGGACATCCATCTTTCCTTGTAAATGTGATAAGCTAATCCAATCGAGTCTCAATTAAATCAAGACTAACTTACTTTTAGTCATATCACAAAATTAATAAGTTACAAGTGTAATCAACAATTTTTTATGATTACCTCAAGAGTAAAAGTGAGTCCAACTTTAATCTCTCCGCTATATTCCTTGTCCTGATTGACAACATTGTATGGAGTTGGTGGAAGGCTTCCTTCAGCGAACAACGGCTCTAAAGCAACCCTACATTAATTAGGCGTAGGCCAAAGGTTAGCTAATTAAACATGTAAGGTAACAAACATATGTCACATTATACTGTGCTAAGTTATTTCTACAATTACATTTTATTTTTACAAGGATAATTGTCGAGCACTAGTCTTAGCTTGATCACACTAATGCTTGACGGAAAAAACTTAGAAGTACTTTTAAATCATAATTAAGGGACAAAAGGAGAAGTACTCACGTTGCTTCTCCAATAAAATCATCAGAGCTAAAGGTATCTTTGTCCATTATTTTCAAGCGAAGTTCATCAACATCGTCGGAGACTGTAAAGGAAAAGGTCTCGTTCCATTCTGGTTCAGATCCTTGCCCTGCAGCATGCACGCATGTACAGATTTGTTTTTGTTGCACAATCAATTGATAACGGTATTCTGCACACCAATGTAACCCTAGAGGGCGAAAGAGATATATGGAAATTACCTGAGACGACAGTGCTTTTCTTGTCTTGGGTCCTTACAGTTAAAATAACATAGGGATCCATGTTACCTGCTCATAAAAAAACATTCAACCCCATAATCTATACAGGCATACATATAGTTAGCAACTTAATTAGCAATCAGAAACTATATGTGGAGACAAATCTAAAAGAAAAAATCATAATAATCTCAATGAATTACACACAAGCAGGAGATTTGTTGTTGTCCTAGGGATGTATTCTGTTGTCTCGTGATGAGAGAGATATCAAAAGCAGGTTATATTGACGCGTATACGTAAGAATCTCCGCGTGCAAACACCTCCATAATATCATAATGTTAGCAGATCATCTCGTTTGTTATTGACGGCAATTGTAGATTGATTACAGGATAATTAAATCCAAATACACGAATATCAAACAGATAATAAAACAATTAGATCATGTAAATACAAAAAAAAACAGGAACATGGGGGAAAATAGAGAGAATTTATATATCATCATTTAAAATTTACTACAGCTCGATGTGAAGAGATTATTTTTGGGATACTGTATCTATGATCCAACTTTTTACATTCGAAGACATATTTACAAACGTACGGATACATGTATTCGATACACATACACGACACATGAATTAAATTAGAACATGTTCATCCGGCCTGGAAAAATCTGTAACAGCTAGCCAGCATTAGGTATATGGACAGCCAAAAATGTATGAATTCAGATTTGAGATGAAGATGGAGCAGAAATCATTTCTCTTATGTATGTATATTTGTTTTCTACAAATAATATTGAAAATAAAAAAGAATTAATCAAAATTTACCGAGAAAATCATTGTTGTCGAGGCCTTTGGCACTGACAAGAAGAACTTCAAGCGTTCCGTGAGGCATCTTTCCGATGAGATGAAATTATCAACACACCTAAAGCAACGCAACACAATACAACAGACAATCAATTCATTTATATATTAAGAGAGTGAAAGTCTACGATGTTGTTACATTTCTTACCAAGCCCGGCTAATTAGGGGTTGACAGGTTCATGAGATACTTCTGTTCCCATATATAAAACTAGATGTTGTTTTCATCTTTCCGTCCCGCCACAACAATCATATGGTGACAACCAGGCGTATATGTTTCTAACCTATTCTGGCTGGTGACGTTTTTAATTTATGCATGTATAACTTGGAATTAAAGAAAAATATCTGCTAATAAGAAAAAACAATTAATTGACATACATTGTTTCCAAATGCCAGATAATTTGTTGCATTAGATAGGGTGCATTTTTACTCACCCACATTAACTTTGGTATATGCTCACCATACAACTTATTAGCTGTCATGTGTCCCTTCTTCTAACCCCTAGTTACTTGTTAATTAAATATATCATTTTCAATTTTTAAAACTAATTTTAAACATTCAACTTAAAAATAAATAAATAACTCAAACCCTACCCAGCAGTGTTTCGTTCCCCACCCATGCCAACCATTCAATTGATTCTTCAAAGTTCCACTCACCCACCCAACCAATCTTCTTCTTTAGGTGCATGGCGAATTTGCCATGACTTCGTCCTCCGTCCTCCGCCCTCCCTCATTTTTCTTCCAGTGTAACAACAATCGGAGACCACCACGAAGGCTACGCCTTTGCAGCCATGAAATTCGATAGCAACCTCACCTAAAGAATCAGCCCTTTCTGTTTCTTGCGAGGATATTTCTATGCACATATAGATTTGATTTTCTAATTTGGGATTATTTTCTTGGTGATGGCATTTGTTGGGTTTCTTTATAAACTAAAATAAAATTAGAGTTACAGTGTAAGAAGGAGAACAGAGACATGGTGATTCACCATGGCACGAAGAAGATTGGTTTTTTTTTTTTTTTTTTTTTTGGGGGGGGGGGGGGGGGGGGGGGGGGGGGGGGGGGTGTGGGTGAGGTGGGGCGGGGGTAGGTGGTAGACTTTGAAGAATCAATTGAAGGGGTGGTGTGGGTGCGTAGTTGTTTCTGGGGTTTGGCTAGGTGGGGAACTTGAAGGGTTTGCGTTTTTATTTTTTATTTTAATGTTTAAAATTAGTTTTGAAAATTGAAAATGATATATTTAATTAACAAGTAACTAAGGTTACAAGGATGGACACATGGCACCTAATAAGGTGTATGGTGAGCATACCCTAAAGTTAATGTGGGTGGGCAAAAATGCACCCATTTGATAAATTGGTGGCTTAGGATTTCCATGATTTGCTGAGTAACTCTAACTCTGACATGACTCTAAGAAGTGGTTAATTAATTTGTGAAAAGAGCTTTTAAATCTGTAATATAATCTTGTTTTTCTAACACAAGCATTACTGGGGTAGAGAGAATTGAAAATAATACTCTTAACTAGCTGAGCTATAAATCCCTTGCAATTTGTAACTTAATTTTAATTTGAAGTGAATACCTAGTGGCCTGGAACGCATTCAGAGTTGTCAGAGTTTTCAAGGCGAAATCCAACGTCTATTCCATTACAGTGGGGCACAAATCAGGGGTTCATTAAATTCTTGAAGGTAACCCTTGGTTTGTCAAGGGTTACACATTCTCGGTCAAGCCTTAGCCGCTTTACCACTCATTGGACGACATAAAAGCGGACATGGCAATCTATTGGGTTCAAGCCTACGAGATTCCTTGTAACCTCTACACCAAAAAGAATGCCCGTTACCTTAGGGAAAAACTCGGGGCCGTCTTGGAAGTGCATGAGGGTTTTTGTGGATTTATCCGCATGCACATTTATTTTGACACCACTAAGCCTCTGTACACTCATGTTCTCTTATTGAGCCCCACATCGGGTACTTGAGTCATCAGGTTCAAATACAAAGGTCTCTTGCAGCTCTACTTCTTCTGTGGCCGATTGGGAAATTTTAGGGGCTGCCCATGGAAATCGTCGGTGGGTTGGTCTAGCAATAGCCAGTTTTTTGCTAAGCTGCGTGCCTCTCACATCTTACTTGCCACGACCTTCCTTTTTCCCTTTTCCCGACATCTAACGGCAATGGGTTCCAATGAACGTCACTAGCGGTGTAAATGGAACTTGGAGGGTGACTTCTATGGCCTCCTCGACAAAGCATGGGAAGAGTAGGCAAGGCAATTCACAGCAAGGAGGAAGTGTTAGGAAGATGTCAAACGATCAGTCACCTGGATCGATAACAACAAATGACAATTCCATCTATCCGGAACAACATCTGCCATAGTTGGGTGCGACACCTTTGTACCTATCAGAGCTTGGCATAGGTTGTTATGTACACACGTCGAGCATCCCTCATTGACCTCGACCACGTGTGGCATCTAGACAGTTTTGGGACCTAATTCTCTAATGACTGTCTAACCATTGCTATGAATGGACTTTCATTGAGTGTCATGTGATCCAAAAAGGGTACCACCTCGGGCCCTCTCAAAGTCGAATGTGCTACTCTATGAGCCCCATTTCTTTGGGCTTGAACTCGGGGCTAAGGTCGAGCCCAACTTGCTACCTTAAGATGTGAACCAAACCCACCATGTGTTACCTTCAACTTAGCCCAGCTCCCTAGTGAATCTAATCCATCATTTGATATAATTTGATATCCTGACGGGCCTATCTCCTAAGAAAGCTTGGGTATCCTACAATCCCAAACAAAGGAAGCATCTCCGTTTTAATTTGATGTCCTGATGAGCCTATCTCCTAAGAAAGCTCAGGCATCCTACAATCCTAAACAAAGGAAGCCTCTCCATTTTTCTAACACTGTAATCAAGGGAAATAAACAACATCTCAAGGGAAAAGGTGGCTCAGTGGGCTCCCATGGATCGATGGTCAGGTTGGCGGCCCTTTTATATAAAAATCTTTACGAGGTTTGCATCAGCTCCTTTAAAGAACTTGAGGAAGCTGAGACATCTAGATGGCTAGGGAGGAAAATAAACTATAATTGTCTCTATGGTAAATCAGTGGCGGTTGAGCCAACTTAGCCCCGCTGAAAACAATAAGAGTATTGTCCTGGAACTGCCGAAGGCTTGGGAACCACCGGACAGTTCAAGCCCTAACGGGGCTTATCCAACAGCAAGCTCCCACCATTGCATTTCTGTATGAGTCCACATGCAATAGTCTTGCTATCATGGCTCTCAAAGTTAAGCTTGGGTTTCGATTTGGCTTTTTGTGTTAATTCTGTGGGAAAGTCTAGGTGTATAATCTTGCTGTGGTATCTAACGACCCCATTACGGATCCTTTCATCTTCCCTCAAACACATTGATGCATAAATAAGTGGTTATGGCAACATTGATCACTGTCACTGGTTTTTATGGTCACCATCAAACTAGTATTCGCTACGAATCCTAGTCGTTGCTCCGTTCTCTGGCTACCCAATCCTCGCTCCCCTAGAACTGTGGTGGGGATTTCAATGAAATGCACCTAGATGAAAATGAGGATGGGGGGACCAGGCACATCCACCAGATTCTGAAATTTTGACAAGCTATTGGCGACTGCAACTTGGGCGACATGGGTTTCTCGAGGAGGGAGGGGGGGAAGTTTACCTGGATGACCAATTGCCATAGTGGCATTAATGAGTGCTTGGATCTGGTCCTCACGATGTTTGATTGGAAATCCAAATACCATTTCTCTGTGGTGCACCACCTCTAACCTAGCAAATTTGATCATATACCACTACTCCTAAACGTTAGGCACTAACCCATGTCAACTTGGAAAAATGATAGGAGCATATTTATGCGCCTTAGTTAGCTAGTTCTTATGCATTTTTATTATGTTTTATTCGTTAAAGTAGTCTTTTAAGCTACTTTCATGTGTTTTCAGGTTTAAAGGACATATTACATGAAATGATGCAATTGGGAGCTTTTGGAGCAAAACTGAGCTGGAATGTGGTGTATGCAAATGGAGCACGAGGAATGAACGAGGTTGAAGGTCAAAGGAGCTTAAGAAATGAAGAAATGAAAGTGAAGAGCAAGGAAGTCGGAATTGGTAACCAAAGTTTCTAAAGTTGGAAGTTTCTATTCTTGGAGGTTTCCATTGTCGTGAGTTTCTATTCTTGGCTTTGGGCTTTTAGAGCACCTAAACCCTAACTCTTTGTGGACCCTAAGCCTATGCCGCACCTAAACCCTAACCTTAGCCCATTTTAGAGCCATTGCCGTGGGCTTTAGCCCAAGTCCTTTCCCTTGCCATGCAAGGGGGTGCATTTTAGGCCCAAATCCATGCATTAAGCCCTTCACCCTAATTGGCCCAAATCCATGCATTAAGCCCTTCACCCTAATTCTTCCTCCTAATTAGTGCATCCCACCATTCCATTCCATAATTTCCATTAGTGCATCCCACCATTCCATTCCATAATTTCAATTAGTGCATCCCACCATTCCATTCCATAATTTCCATTAGTGCATCCCACCATTCCATTCACACTTAAATGCCCATTATCCCATTTTTTTTAGCTTTTAATTCCACTCCATCCCATTATCCTTTACATCCACTAAACCATGCATCCACATTCACCTAAATAAACCCTAAATTACATCCACTAAACCATCCATCCACCATAATTCCAACCATCCACACCTTTTTCCATCCACCAAATACCTTAAACAAACATCCATTAACACCCATTCTCTTCCTATAAATACCCATTCATTCCATTCACCAAATCATCTCATTTTCCATTGTAATACACAAACACTTCCCCTTCTCCATCTTCTCCATTTCCACTCCATTCCACACTTCCATCCCCCCAACCAACCTATCCTTAAACCTTGTGCTACAACAACGAGGAAGAGAAGAGTGCCTAAACGTTCATACAATTCAAGTTTGAGTTGTTGGAATGTTTAGGTGTTTCTTTGATTTCAAAGTTTCATTTTAATTCTCTTTGTTTTGTACGTATAAGGAATGGAAGAGAAGAGTGCTTAAACGTTCATACAATTCAAGTTTTGAGTTG